TTTCTATAATCAAGAAAATATTTCTTATTCTTAATTCAATGGCGTTTTGAAATCACGGGCGATTTTCTAATATTTATGGTGATTTTTTTTTTGAGTGTGGGTTCCGTAAAATCATCACAGGTCGGGGATGTCATGCAATACCATTTTATGGGTACTACTTACATAAATACATTGGTTTAATGGTATCTCTCTTAAAACATGTGTTTTTATTCGTTTTTCAAATTTTTTTTCTTGTCTTCTTTTCGTTAATACTTTTTTAATATTGCCACTGGGATTACTGAAAACGCTTAAAAAATCCATTAGCAGTCCATGAAAATGTATGTACATTTTAATAGGCGTTACAAAATTATTTAGTAACATATGTAATATTTTTATAACCTGGCTACTGGATTGAGTCTGCTAAGTTTTTTAAGAAATTAAGTAAAGATACTCAATTTAAAATTCAGCAGTTCATGCCGTGAATTTTATTAAACTTATTTATCACACAATAAATTTAAGTCTTAAACCATCAGAAAAACAAATTTGAAAAAATACATTAAAATATTAAACAACTTTTTACATTTTTACTGTCGACTGTGTCACAAAGTACATTTTATAAACTTCTATTAAAGGGTTTATAAACTAAACACTCTTTCACCGAAGGCCATAAAAATTTAACATGGCCAATACTCACTTATTTCCAATAAAATATATAAATAAAATATATTATTATTTTTATTTATTTTATATGTTAAGGAAATATAGTTCGACAAAATGTAAAGTCAAGTTTGTAAGCATTGGTTAATGCATAAGCCTTACAATCCAGGTCTTTCATTTGCAGTTAATTAGGCACACGCCAAAACGAAATATGCGGTGCAAATGAATCTTGAAATCAGAGTCTTCATGTTGCCATTGACAAGTACAAATAAATGGAAATCGTTAAGACCAACCGGTTATCAGTGGGTTAAACCGAGCGTTAAGCGTAAGACAAATTTAGTTGCTGATTCGGGGTATTTACTCCGATCTCGAACTCCGATCTGGTACCCGATCTACTCGTACTCCATGCGTAATTAGCCGCGGCATCGCCGATTTATCATCGAAATGTGGCGGTCATAAACAAATGCGCTGGCGCCACTCGCCATTTTTAATGTCGTTTATTTCTCATTTTCAATATTCGGTTTTCATTAAATATTAGCCACAATATTGAACGGCGGCCGCAGGCGACGCAGCAGGTGAAGATGTTTACCCAGTTACCCACAATTCGGATTTGGATCCGCACTCGAACGAGGAATTGCGCAAAGAGTTCGGCTACGACAGAAATCAATAAAGTATCTATGAGCTTGCACAAGGTGCAGATGTCATAAGATCGGACAGCACTGCATAATGATGTTATTCAATTGCACAGAACAGATAGTTTGTGAGTAGTATGTGGGTGAGTCTGGGTCCCGCAGCGAAATCACTTGATTATTACTTTGGGAAATGCATAAATACAGGTGGTGAGCACAGGTAAACGTCAGTTATGCAGATAGGCTGTCTGAGTTAGTGACAGGGCATACGAGAAATGTAGAATTAACCATCTGCTTATGCAACTATTTAGCTTTAGATCAAGCTATATGAAAAATGGTAAACAAAATCAAAACTCTTAAAGTCAATGTATTTATTGATTTTGAAAATAAAAATTTGTTGAACATCAATAGAGCTTTTGATATATTATGATAAATTTGTATCAAGTACCAAATAAAATGTTGACCTTTATGTATAAAAACAAACATGACTTAAATAATTATACGTTTTTCTAATGTTCTTTATTTTATTTCTTAAAAAATGGTTAGAACTATGTGAAAATTAGATTTACGGTACTGAACTTTATGACTTACCTTTTCAAATGGTATAATACATTGGTATCACGTGCTCGTGCTGGTCGCATTTCGTTTTTGGCCCCAGTTCGATGGCTCTTTGTGCCATTCCATTCCGGCCAGGCCACGCCCCCGGCCAGACGGCCGCCCCTTTTGGGCCGAGCGACGTGTGCATAAATCTTGCACGCATATTTAAGTTGATGATGTTAAATGGCTGTACTAAAAATACGAAATATGCATGCCGTATGCAGGCAACAGTTTCATCCTGTCGCTCTGTGTGTGGAATGTGCCACGGCACCAACCTGCACCACTCTGCACCACCCTGCACCACCCTGAGCCACCCTGCACCATCGAGCTGCAGCAACATGGCGACATTCATAAACCAAAACTGAGCCACAGAGGCTCCTCGAGTGCCAAAGGCGATTGCCTCGGAGTCCGTGGGTTTTTTGGCCTGGCTTTCGGGCTGGCCGAAAGCCGAACGGCCAACAAAACGTTCTGGCCAAAAAGGAAACCGGGCTCACCAACAGGGGGACATTTTTGGATTTTACCACATCGAAAACGGTATGCACTAACGAAAGGGGAACCAAAAACAATTAATATTTATAAAGATATAATTAATATTTTAAGTATATTTTTATTTAACATTTATGTTGAAATTCAGGGTCATGTCTAAATAAGCAAATATTATTTAAAATAGTTTTGTTTTCATGGTCAATTTCTAGGCTTCCTGTGGTAAATTCTAAAAAACCTAATTTTATTTTAAATATATTTGTTTCATGTTAAATTTCTTGGCTTTCTGTAGAAAATTAAGTAAAATTCATGGGCATTTTAAATAACTGATATTCCCTCACTCGGAGATTTTCCTAATTAAAAATGTTCCTATTTAAAAAAGTTAAAGTACTTTGTGTAAGAGCAGCGATTGGTTTTTCTCAGTCACCTTACAGTTTTTTTTCCAATTTTTTTATTATTATTTCTTGTCATGTTTTCTTTTTGCTTAACGGCGGCAGATTTGAAAAGAATTTCTGCTCGCAAATGAAATTGTTTCCTGTTAAAAGCTAAAAAGAAGAAGGCAAGAAAACAAACTTCGCGGGGAGAGTGGGTAAATGGCGAAGGACGGGGCCTGGAACAGGGATATGGATATGGAATGGATATGGCCATGGATGTGGATGTGGATGTGGTTGTGGACGGCACCTGCCGTCGCAACGATTGATGAAATTAAAAGGTATAAATAAAAATCTTTTTAATGGTCTGGGATTTGGAACTTAATTTTTTAATTAAACAAGCCACCGACGAGGAGGCTGCCGCCGGAGAGATGGGGCCTCAAACGAAAAGGAGGCTGGGACATTTATGCAAAGCAGAAGCCACTTGGCCACTTGTGTGGTCTGTCCACGGTCTGCTGGCCATGAAAGGGAGGAGTCCAAGGAGCCCGAGTGGAGGAGCAGGTCCCATAATAACTGTGTTTGCCTTGGGCGATGGCCAACACTTTTACTGCCCCAAGGAGTCGAGGGCCCTGGCCATTACATGTTAATCCCCCAGCACCGATGTCAAATGTCAGCACATGTGATTTGTCATCTTGAGCAGGAGGAACCCGCTCTGTGGAGGACTCGGCGTCGGTGGTCGACTCCTTTGCATTGTCGCCTCGGGCAACATTTGTCACCAGAGGCGGGGACCACCTATCTTGTTCTTGGCCGCAATTTACAAGTCCCTCCAACATGGCCAGGAATGTGCAATTGATATTCTGCGAAATCGGAGGACCAGGCCAATGACTATGATATATTCATTCCCATCCACGGAGAAAAAATGTTACTCAATCTTATAGAAGCTTTTAAGTGGATGATTCCATTTAAATTTAAAGAAGATGATATGCTGAAAATGCTATAAATACAAAAAAGAATAAATAAAACAAGAGAGAAAGCTATAGTACTTAGCTTACGAAATTTTCAATTTTTTTCCATTGCGGGGCAATCGAATTCAAGAAATCGCTCCACATAGCAGAGAAATGCTTTTTAATGAGTGGTCCGATCTAAACCATTTTTGGGTATTGATAATCAAAGCCATATCCCATTTAACTGTTACACAAAATTTAAAATTTTAGGATCCAGAAAGGTTTTAGTTTTATGGGCGTTACAGTGGGCGTGGCAAATCGAGATAACAAACTTGCGCTGCGCAGGAATCCCTAGAATCAGTATGCTTTATCTTAAATGTCAAGCTCTTAGTTTTTGAGATCACAGAGTTCACCCGGACATGTGGACATGGCTAGATCGACTCGGCTTGTGATCCTGATCAAGAATCATTTGTTTTCCTTATGTATCCTTACAGTCATACTTACTTAAAGTCCTTAAAAAATAAATTTGATGCAATATATTCCTTTTGAATTTATATATATTTTTATTTATACGGTTTTTCTGCACACATTCGTTAACCAACAAAAAGGAAACAACTGAGCATTTATTTGAAGAGTTGAAAATGAGGAGAACTCATAAGAGAAATGAAAAGTGTGGAATATTTTGTTGAGGCTTTTTATTCAATTTCTAGTGTGTTGTTACTCGTTTTAATACAAAGAAATGCAATTAAATAGTCGTTTATATATTCGTATATATAAGATAGAGATTAATAGAGATGGGGAGGGGAGACAGACTTGAAGAGAGGTTGTGAAATGGGCGCAGGTGTTATACATGGGCGAAAGAATCATTTTGCTTCTATACATAAATAATTACATTTAATGCTCGGCTTAGGAATAAAACATATTACAATGTACAATGGTAGAAGTGTTAACTTAGGCGTATGATTAATTAATTAATTAAACGTAATTAGTAGAAAGAAAAGTGCAAATGAATTTACAAATGACAAATGACAATCGGTCCCCGCTCCACTCCAATCGACTCGATTCGACTCAATTCGATTCGATATAGGTTTAAATAAATAGTTTCTGCTGTGGTAGATATAGTCATCGAATAATGGAGCTCGCCCATTCGCCGTCGATTCAACATAAGAATTTTGTTTATATTACAGCAACGCGCATACGTATAAGTACAGTAGTTCAATTCGAGTTGTGTGTGGTGTGTGTTGTGTGTTTTTCGGCTTCGTTTCGGTTTCGTATCGGTTTTTTATTTAGTTGAGTGCTGCTTCAATGCCTAGTTAAGTTAATAATTAATCGTTCAATTGTTAAATGGTTTCTTGTCTTAAGTACACACTAATTAAATTTTCACCTAAGCATCTTGCTTTAACTTCTTTTTGTTTGGGTTTTCTTATTTCACTTTAAATTTACATTCATACATATCTCTACATATAAACTTGACGCTTCAGTTTTCTGCTTCTGTTTCTGTGTTTACGCATTTCCCTTCAAATTGTTTTAATTTCGCATATTTGGTTTGCTAATATGTTTGAACTATTTATTTTAAATATTAATATAAATATATGAGAAACAATTTTTGCATATCTTTTTCCATGTTCGTACACATATGCCTATATGTGTCTATATATATATATTCGTATGTAGAAAAGCAGCAGTTGGTTTCATTTTGCTGTATTTTGATTTTATTTGTAGTTTTAGTTTCTTAGTTGTTGTTCAATTAATAAATATAACGTTGCTTATTCAGTGTGAATTTGGTGTTTGGTTGCAGTACATATCGTTAGTAGTTCTTTAAAATTTTCCATTATTCAAAATTTGTTTCCATCCTTTCTCGAATTGGATATCGCCCACAAACTGCGTCCTAAAATCCATTTTCATGCTGACCATTTCAACAACTTTTTGTATTTGCTTAAAAAATTCGGTTTATTTTGAATGGAGTTTTTTATTTTTGTTCATCTAGCCCAATTTCGTACGCTTGTGCCTAGTAAAATTGTTTAATATTTAGTTTTAACCTTTCTTTTTTGGAAGTGTTTTGCTGTGCGAATTTGTTATCGTTATCGTTACCGACTCTTAGTTCTGCTTGCGTATGAATTTAAAAAACGTCTTCATTCGTTTCCCGTTCATCATTTTTAAATTTGTTTGCTAATTGGTTTTTGGTTCGTTATAAAATTTTGAAAATATATGCATATATGTATATAATATATATATCGATTTTTGTTTGCATTTGTATTTATTAATTCTCATTGCTAATATATTTAATTGATTTAGTAAATCAAAAGTTTGCTACGCTTTTTCAGTGCATTCGAAACGTTTATTTGCTTGCACTTGAATGTCGCGCTTTCATAATTTCCATTTCAACAATTTTAGCATTTTGTTATCGATTATCGCTATCGCTTCGGTTCGTTCCATCGTTTTGTTAGTTTATATAGCACATACTCGTAAATAAAAATCTTATTGTCTTTTCATTTATAACTATGTAGCAGTTCTGCGAGTTCGTTGCCTGCGGCCTCTCGAGTGCAGTTGGTGGAGTCTTCACTGTACTCGCTACTGGATGAAGTGCGGCCTGAGTTATCGATATCGGTTCTGCGCCTGCTTTCGCTTCCGCTTCCGGTTTCGCTTCTGTAGTGTGCTTTTAGGCGTGGTGCAAGTGCAAAAGTCCTGTCTGAGTCGAGGTACTGAACAGTAAGCAACTCCTTTGTATATCGAGTTCTATATATGTTTATATATATATGTATCAGTTCATTATAAATTTGAAATATTTATCCATACATTTTTGTTCTTCACTTGGTTTTTTGCCTAAATTCTTTTGAAAACTGAGTACTGAGTAAAGGTATGTCTTTCTTAAGCAGGTCTGTTCCAGTTCTCACCTTCACAGAGATGATTCATATTTAAAAATTTAGTTGATGAAGAAAAGTTGAACAAGTATTCAGAATTCAGTTTATAATTTTGAGTTTATTATATTCTTAGTCACGACATTCCACGTTCCGATTCTAATATTTTGAAGTGATATCTGCAATATTTCGTTGAACAATTAAAATGTCTGTGAAAGTAAAAGCTGGGGCAGTCCTGTCCTTAAAGATCTAATAGCCAAAGCCCGCCTATCCCTAACTACTACGCAAATCTCTGGTGAGTGAACCAGTGCAGCGTTTTATTCGGCCTGATCCTGTTCATGCCGATGCGAATCGGTTCCGTCAGATGGGAAGTGGTCGAGGTGGGCAGGAATCCGCTGAAGCCGCCATCGGAGCTGTTCCCGCTGCCATTCCCCTCCAGATCGCCGTTGTAGAGCACGGGATACACGCTGATGTTGTCCAGGTTGTCGATATCAATATCCCCGCCCGCATTGCGCACATAGGTCAGCTGGTGATAGGGCGTGGCCATCAGCTTTTTGGTGAACTTCCGGATAGGTCTCTTGATGGTTGTTGCTGCCGTAATGCTGGATGTTGCTGCTGCTGCTTCCGATGTTGCCGTTGGCGAAGCCTCCGTCAGTGTGTTGTTCAGGTTGCTGTTGATGTTCTTGTCCACGCTGAAGAGTGAAGGTGCAACATGTTGCTGTGGTGTCGTGGCCGCTGTTGCTGCCGTGCTGGAGAGTTGCTGCATGGGTGTTGTCATTGGAGTTGCTCGCGTGCTGCCACGTGTTGCCACTGGCGGTTGCAGCGTCCAGAGCAACTTCCTTGGCTGTTGTTGTGGCTTCACTTCGTTCTCGCCCGCCAGCAATATCTTGGAATAATCCACGTTGTCCCGGGGAATCTCCCTGCTGTTGCTGCGGTGCCTGCTTGGCTGTTGCGTGCTCTGTGCAGGGATTTCAGTCTGACTGGTTGCCGTTGGTGTTGCCCGCGTGGTGCTGCTGCTGTTGCTGTTGCTATTGCTCCTGGCCAGCGGCGTCTGCTCTATCACCAGCTGCGAGCCCGATGTCGAGGTAGTTGTGGCCGCCGTTGCCGCTGTTGCTGATGTTGCTTTGGTTTCAATTGTCGCCGTGGACTCCGCCTCCGGATCGTCCACCAACTCGGGCTCGTACTGTAGCAACTCGGTGTCGTTGCCGCCGGATGCCTCGGCCTCCATTTCGGTGATGTAGGTGGCCCAGGCATCGTAGTTGCTGCTGCTGCTAATACTGTCGTCAGATGTTGCTGTTGTGCTGCTGCTGCTAAAGCTGTCGATTGTGGACCAGGTGGACCAGGGCTCCAAGCTGCTGCTGCTGCTGTTGTAGGTATCCACATCCTCAAAGCCCGTGCTGCTGCTGCTGCTGTAGAGGGTGTCGTCGGTGTACGGCGATGTTGCTGCCGTGGCAAGTAGTTGCAATTGCTGTTGCTGCTGTGCTTTCGGCCTGACCTTGCCCTTTCTTCGCCGCCCCTTGCGCTTGCTGCTCAGTGTTGCTGTTGTCAATTGTGTTGCAATGGTTGCTGTTGCTATTGGTGTTGGTGTTGCTGTTGCTGTTGCAGGCATTTGTTTCGTTGGACTAGCTGATACTCGTTGTTGGTGTTGCTGTTGCTTCTGTTGCTTGCGCCGCTTCTGCTTCTTCTCGTGTTGCTGTCGTCGCAGCAGCAGCGATGGATCATTGTGATGATGTCGCACCTGATGTTGCTGCTGCTGCTGTTGCTGCTGCTTCTGCCGGTTTATCGCTAATTGCTTTTTGTTAGTGCTACTTAAACTAGTACTACTATTATTAAGAATAACGTTATTATTATTATGGCCATGATGCTCCTGTTGCTGTTGCAACTTTTGATTTTGGTTATTCGATTTGTGGCGATTGTTTTTGTTGTTGCGCGGGGGCTTCCGACTGTTGTTGCTGCCATTGCTGTTGCCACTGTTGTTGCTGTTGCTGTTGCTGCTGCTGCCACTGTTGCCATTGCTATGGTGATGGCGGAAAAACTGCTCGGCCTCGATCTTGTTGAACATGTAGCAGGCATCGTTGACGCTCTTCTTGGGCCCCACAGGCTTACCTCGGTGCGTGAACCCGACACGTCGCTGCAGATCGACAACGGAACGGAACACGAAATAACCGTGCACGATGGTCTCGTTGAAATAGCAGGTATCTCGCAGTTCCCTCTGCAACCAGAAAAGATATACATGTAGATATAGGATATATAGATATAGATATCGATATAGCGACTGGCTTCCGCGCACTTCACATGCAATTTATGAGCGGCATTTCCGTTCATAAGGTTGGTGAGGTGTTATATGTGGTGGATATTCTGATGGTCTGCTATTCTGATATGCGTATCGACAACGATGACAGCGACATCATCGCGCGAGGAGTGAACGTTTAGTCTGCCTTCTGTTTATTTATAAAACACTTGAAATCTCAAAACGACAACCAAATGAAACGCGGCTTATGACTTGGATGTTGGAGTACCCTGGCCAGCTATATTCGGGGGGTATTGGTTTGCTATTACCGACCGAGTGAAAGAGGTATGTGACGAAATGGACTGCAATCTAAAGACCTTTCCTTTAATATGTTTATTTATTTCATTTTAATACTCGTTAAGAAAACTACTAAAAGAATTTTATGGAATTTAACTAGAGTTTCGATACTTGTGTAGATGAGTGAACTGGTTTTTATAACAAACTTAAGTACTGAGAGACAAATTTGCAGCACTTTAAAAAAAGTCCTTGTAAATTCCTTTAAGTTCCAGGGAATTTACAGATAATATATATATTTTTCTTCGCTTTTAAATGAATCCATTTAAATTGCTCTTAATTCCAGGGTATTGACATATCCTATATCACAACCCTTAACCTTCTTATTTGAGTTGTTGAGCGCGTGTTGCTGCCGTGTTGGCCATTTGTGCTATCAGCAGTCCGATCTGATCGCTCAGATCGAGGCGATTGTGGCCCAAAGTGATGCCAACGGCGCGGATGAAACATTTCCCAAGCAATTAGGTCTTGTGCCATATTTAGCGACGGACGACTTGTTTGTTCTTCGCATATTTATAGCTCGTAATTGCTATTTTTGAGAAGCTTCTCGCCACTGGTCAAGTGCCACCGAGTGTTTGGGGTAAACTCAATTGTACTATTTCGAGAAGCGATCGAGTAATCAGAAGTTGTGACCTCGGACCACACTAGCTTTACCGCGAAAAGCCCCCTAAGATATCGAATGGAGTGTGCTAATCACGGCGGGTATTTGCTCAACAGCTCAACATTGATTTTGCGGTCATAATCGAAAGCAATGGAAATGCCTGACCTTAGGGATTCTATTGTTTGCCCAGAGCTCGAGTGCGGTTTAGCTAGCTAACTGTAAGTGCAAAGGACATTGAAATGTTTTCGCCATTACCACATAACAGCGGCAATTAAGTGCCGCGTCATCCGTCTGATTGATTAGACATATCTATCTGGCATAAACGAGTTGTTTGACTTTTATGATGGCAAATCTCAGTTCTCGAGTGGCGGCACTTCAGCGTGTGACATTGAAAGGGGCTCGTAAAAACTGTTACAATGTCTCGAAAATTTGATTTTCAATTTCCCAGTTGCAATTCATTGCTCCATGCGAAATCACGCATACGCCGCGTAAACCTATCTGAAAATCTGTGCCACATTCGGCCGTAATTGCATATGAAATTGTTCGCATTTTCGAATTACAAATTACAAAAATATTGTAATAAATATTTTGTTCGGCCCGCTGACAGATTTGGTGCAACCGCAACAGGTTTTCACCCATTGTGGCTGACAATTTGGCCAGGTCGCTATAATATTGTTATTGTCGTTTAAGCTATCGTTTGCATAAAACCATTATGTGGAACATGTCATAAATTACAGTGTTTGCACAGTTAGTTTGCATAAAAACAAATCGGGTGGAAGCGGAAAAAATATGAGTTTTCTACACATTGTCAAGTATGTGAAGTACGAATGCAATGCAATCAAAGGCGCTGCACCGGGCCTTGGCTATATCAGCATCTATATACCGGCAGAACAAATATTGTCAAGCATATAATTATGGCTATTGCCAACAATTTGCTTGCCCAACAAGATGCTATAAACTTTATCTAGCCATAAACAAATCGTGTGTGGAAATTCCCTTTCATCTTGGCGATGTTTTTTATCTATCAAGGGGATGTACCCCGTCTGGAAAGTGAATCATTCTCCTCGTCGGAAAACTCCCAAAATTTATATTACATTACTACTCACCATGCCAACTAATCTCCAATTGTCGTTGAAACACAAATATCTTTGAGTTTCTTTTGCGTACAGTGCTATTTTGAATTCGTTGTTCAGATAATCCGGGAAGCCGACTATCGTTATATTTTCTGAAAAACACAAAAACCAAAACAACAAATTAATTCCATTAGTTAATGATGTAAATATTTGGCGGGCAAAAACATTTTTAATTAAAGGCAAACATGGCTCTTTTCGTCGAAGTGATTAAGCGTGCCAAAACGGAAGGTAACGATGGGTGGGGGCGGGGGTTTGTCATTAACATCGAGATAAAAGTGTGTGTATGACTAGAACTTTGACCTTACTATGAAACACGTGTCTTGGCGGATATTACTTAATGAATGACGATGTTGATGAGTAGCTGTCAAATATTTATAATTTAAATAAGTATTTAGAGCTCTCATTATTTGGGAATAAATATTAATAGCTTCCGAAATAATAAGATGTTGAACATGGTATATTAAGACTTTGTAGAATTTTTAAATGTAAGATCAAAATAATTATTATTTAAAATTCGAGGGAAAAAAGCCAAGAACATATGTATTTCTTTTGACCAACTTATCTTTAAAGATATAACTAATATAATTGTTTAATATTACTATTCAGTACAGACCTTAATGATACCCCAATATTAATTAGACTGGGGCTAAATCCTCCTTATTTGTTTGCTATAATTTCGATCAAGAACCAAAACAATTTCCCAAAATAGTCGGCGAATGCATTAAACCTCGAAACCCCGAAGTCAAGTAGCCAAGGTGCGCATGCTCTCTCCGCTAATTATAAACCGACAATGTGGGCCCGCAGATGTATCTGGAGTATCTGGCGTTGCATCTGCCCCTGGGTTCACTATTCCAGATACTGTATCCGTATCTGTAGCTGTATCTGGCCTCGACAGGCTATTGAACTTCAGCGGGTTGGACCAGGAGGAGGGATGCGGCCACAAAAGTCACTAATAAGTAAAGCACTTGAAAAGCCAAAGAAAAAAGGCAACACGAGGAGAAAAGCCACTCGAGTTAGATTGATAGGTGACTGGGTTCAGCCCGTTCCCGTTCCCGTTCCCTGTCCCGGTCCCAGTCGTCTGCCATTCTGCCGTTCTGCCAGTAATTAAATTTATGCACACAAATTCTTGGCAAGAGTCGCCGTTCTTGGTCTTGGTCTTGGTCTCGGTATGGGTTCCGAGTTCTGAGTTCCCAGTTCTCGGGGCTCTGGGATCTCGGCTCTTGGCTCTCATATTTCATAAGCCGGGGCGAGCTGAGGGCTTGAGTGACTCTGTGCTTCACACCTTTGGCCGCCGGTGGCAGCCACTTGTGCCTTGTGCCCCAGGGAGCACCCTTTGTTGTTGTTATTGTGATTCACGGCCCGGCCGCTCGACTGGCTTATTGATTTCATTAGTTTGGTGACACAAACCCCGAGTGGAGCACCCTCTGGCAGCCAGCACTTGTGAGTGCGCACTTGGTGCTGAACTGGGAGAAAAAAGGTAACCCAAATCAAGTTATTGGATCCTCAAAAAACTGATAGGTATTGTAATAATAATAGAAAATCTACATAATCATATCTTATAAAATATGAATTAACTTTTTTATTGTAGTTCCAAATCATTTTGGTATTGTATTCCAATATAATACCATATATCAAGTATCTTTAAACCATTTAAATATTGAATAGTTTAGGTGGAACAAATATATTATTCCCAAAAATAGGTCGTTCTGAATTTAGTATTATTATACATTAAGTATTCCTTATATTCTGCGATTTATAAATTTCAGAAAGTAACTAAATTCGAAATTAATTGAGCTAAGCTTCCTTGAACATTTTAAGTTGCAGAGCATAATGTCGCTGGGTCTTCAATAGATTCATCCATCCATTTTTCTTCCGAAACCCTTTTCAGTAAGTGATTTTTTCAGTGAATTGTAACTTTTAGTCACTGGTTACAGTCCCCTTTTTATTCGCCCCTCTGAAGGCGTTGCCAACTTCGATCCACCGCCATTGTGCCATATTTGCCTACTTGATTTCTCAGCCGAGCAGGAAGTGCAAGTCCATTGAGATGAGCAACGGTAACATTGTTGCGGTCTTTGCGGCTTGGTTAATCCATTAGATGACCCAAGATTTGATATCGTTGAACTCCCAATGACTTTGACATTGAAAGTGCCACAGTTCCTAACATCTATGTAACTTCAGACTGTCCCCTTTGAACATAAAAACCCCAGACTAGAAAAGCCAAATGTTTATTTTTATTTTCACGACACACTCACCCAAAAAAGCAATCAAATGCATTTTAGGCTTTGGAATTTTTATGGGCTTTGATCTTTTTGGATATTTTAAAGATCTTAGCCACGGGTTTGTTTTTCACTCAATAAAAAGCTTCGATCGGGTCGCATTTTTGCCGCAAGTTATTAAGATTTTAACAGCCGAATCTTCGTCTTCTGCCGAGTTTCTAATTAAGTTATTAGTCATGGTGAGTGGAATGTTCGTCTCGTCGCGTTTCGTTTAGATGCGAAAGGGCGTTTGAACTGGGAAATGCATCAGCATAAATACGGCAAAATAAAACCGACGAAAGGGCGTTCTCAGATGGTATCGATGGGTCTCGATATGGGGGCGTGATTTGTTTCAGAAACGAAGCGATGGATATAGAATTTCGAGCAGGCTGGTTGTTCTAATTTATGGTCTTTTATGGCATTGAATGATAGCGGCTGGCTGGCCATAATTTAATTGTCACTAAATGAAGTCTGCGACGTCATAGTATTTGCGTCACCAAACTGTCATAATTTCGTAAACAAGTGATAAGAATTTCATACCTCTACCAGTAAATTGCGAATTCCTTGGGTCTTATAATTAGTTGTTTCAGGCCTTATATCATTACGCCAGTATATAATTTCATCATTTTTTATACATATCTCCGTTTTATAAATAACCCAGTTTATATGGGCTGGCCCACCAGCTGTGCACAGCTTTATTTTGTGGGCCGTAAAAACACAGCTCTTGAAGTATAATGTCAAAACCCGAAAATGTAACAAATGACACACTCAGAGGAAAGCCTAAAAAACAAGCGAATCAAGCATTATGCTGGAATAATCAGGAAAACAAAGAACACGGCCAGCAAACAAACCATAAAAAACACAGCCAGCAACAAGAGTCAAAACCTTAATCAAATATGCAAGCAATGAGCTTCATCAACATAAAATTAAAAAATCATAAAATGCTAAACTGCACAGCATGAACAAAATCCAAAATCAAAAAACGAATCAAAATAAAAACAAAAATCAGATATCTCGACAACGAGCTGGGGCGTCAAAAAGCCTCGTAATTGCGGCACATGTACGAAAAACAACAGCGACGAAAATCAGAAAAAGATTTTACGATCCACCCGTGTACATATGGATATGGTTATGGCCAACACCGTCACCGTCACACGGTTTTTTCAACGGCTCGATCACTTTGTCATTCAATCAGCATGATCTTCGCCTCCATCTTCGATTTGAGTTATGGGATCTGTGTGGATAGTGACCAATGGATCGGTGGGCGTTGCTAGTTCTCATCTCTAAAGCTGGATAAGCATAAATCGCAGCTTATCGATCTCTATGATAATCAAGAGCCATTTCCCTGGCATATTTATCGGGACCAACCATATTTGATTTTACTTTCCAGATTCTACTTTCACTCTTATATGGGTTTCCTATGCGGATAAGAATTCCATGACGGCTTATGATTAACGAGGAGAGTTACAGACCCGGACTTTAAGTAAATGCAAACAAATGACAGGAAATGGAATGACCACATTTACTTATTGGGCTCTTATACCATTTACTAATTTATAAACTTTTTTCCATGATATAAAGTTGTTAAATGCAACATTTCTCATTCCTTAAGATGGCTAGAACATCTTTGGAAGAACCTTTGTTCTTATTGAACAACGCAGACTGTTATCCTTGGCTTTTGAGCGTAACTTCCCCCAGAGCATTGCCCCTATGAGATCCAATAGTTCCTGGAATGTCGTCTGAGGCATTCACTTCGATGACTGCATTCCCGGAACTTTAGCGCTGACGATTGCAGTTGGGTTCCCTGGGCTCTCGGGCTCTGGAGCCTAGGGTCTGAGTTCTGGGGTCTTGAGTCGGGTCTGGGTGAAGCGTCTTAGATTACACTCGGCCCTAAGTTATTGCATTTTGCATTTTGCATATGCTGCAAAGTCAACAAACAACTGCGATTTGTCACATGCTGCAACTAGTGGCCCTGGCCATCATCGGTATTGGTTTTGGTATCGCTATTGGTATTGGCATCGTCATCGGAATCGCCGTAGTTGCAGCCACTATATGGGTATATGGTATAGGGTATAGTATACGGCATGTGGTATAGTATGAGTATAGAGGCCCGCAGTTATTGACGTTTTTGTCACGTTTCCTGGAAGAAACCGTTTTATTTGCTCGCCTGGTGCCGCGGCTGGCATTTCGGTTTGTTTTGTAAGCGGAGAGCGGCAAACAAACTGCCCTGGGCCTGGGCAAAAGGAAAACAAACCTCAACTTGCAGCCATTTATCAGTTTCGACCTCCACTCTACCCTCTCTCTTCCCCCTGGCAACTGCACTAATGCTAATTGCATTGGCACGCCCTGAAGACCAGACCCCAACTCCCAGCTCAAGCTTGGGGTCCAGTTCCATTTCCATTTCGAGTTCCATTTCCATCTCAACTGACCAGCTTCGAAGCCAAAGCCAAAGCCAACTCGAATGCCTCGAAATTAGCGCCATTTAATGTGGAGCGTACTCAAGTTTTACGCACGATTCTTTCACTGACGCCACTCGAATCGGTGCCCCCGGGAATTGGCTGCAGTGCATCGGGGGTGATGGGCTCCAGAGGCCACAGTGTCAATGAGTTAATTAGCGCACGATTTGTCGCCCCCACAAAAGCAGACAATGCACAGGGAAAAACATATGGGTCCACCATATAAATTCAATCCTTAAATATATTATTATAAATCAAAAGATTACCTTAGCAAAAAAAAAACGCATGGTAAAGTTATATTTATTTTAATAAATATTATAAATCACTAAGTGGATTGTCATCACAAACATAAATAATTTACTATCACTTTAGTAATTAAAG